CTGCCAAGTTTGCGCTCCCTTCCACCCAGCTACACCCACTTAGCAGCGAAACGGGTGTAACTTACACCGATCTGGAGGAAGGTGTGAGTTAATTGAGGGGGAGGCTGCTGTAACGTACTCCTTCCCACCCTCTCCTGTTAGTTGCGTTTGCTGCTATTTTTCTCTGCGCCATGGATTTTAAGGCCGAGGAGGGGCCAAGATCATTAGTGAAAGCGATCTCCATCACGCGGGCGCTGGAGTTCGGAGGAAACTGACACACACGTTCATCAGCCGAAGCACTTCCTGGGGTTTGAACTCGGGAGGGTCCCAGAGAAGCGCTGTGCCCCGAACCTCCAGGCCATGTCTGCAGGAGCCTCTGTGAGCCAGCGAGAGCTGATGTGGGAAGTCCGAACAAGCGATTCCAAGGCAGGGTACGAGGCACAGGAAGGGGACTAGCAGAAGGTGCAAATATCTCTCTGAACTCGGGCCCCTGAGTTACTTGAAAGCCACTTGCCCAGAAACGGAATCCCCTGCAATCAGGCGTTGTCGTGCCCGCTGGAGACGAGGAGGAGCGCTAGCGTAGAGCTGAAACGAGAGGGCTCCCTAGAGCAGGGGGGTGGGGACAGTGCAGGACACCAGCTCCCGCTGCTAACCAAAGCGTCTCGTGGTCAGCTAGCAGCTTGCCCTGACAAGCCACGGCCCCAGAGTTGGAAGACCCCTGGCCTAGAGCCACAGCAGGGGAGAGGTGGCCTTTCCGAGGTAGATAAAAGCCCCTGGCAGTTCTCTGGCGGGGGGGATCTTTTAGAGGAGGCCTTGAAACCCAAAGTGCCAGCTTGTGCAGGGCGGTTGCGTTTGAGTGGTACTGGGAGCGTGAGGTCGGGGAGCTGAAAGCCCTTCTACCGCGACAGCAATCCAAACCGGCCCTGCACCCTCCTTCCCCCCGCACCTCCAGAACACGCGGCCCTGGGGGGGTGACTGTGTTACTCTTTCAAAGTGCCCATCAAACCCAGGTGGTTCTGCTGCTGGCACTTGTGTACCCCACCCCGCAGGAGCCTCTGCCTGTCCCCCAACTGCACATGACTCTGTGTGGGCTGGGCTTGCTCACAGGCCTCTGCTGGAACCGTTCCCACGAGAATTCGGGGCCTTGGTTTGGCATGTGCCCACGATGCTAACGCCAACCCTGCTCCGCCTCCACTGGGCTCCACGCTCCTTGGGAGGCGGGCAGGGAGGATGAAAGGGGCTGGTTTGGAGGTGTCAGGCTGGCGCTGCATCCCCCTGCGCCTCAGCCCACAGCAGATGGTCTCCTTGATGACCCGCCTCTAAAGGAGCAACCAGGTCGGAAGCTGAGTTTCAGCATCCAGAGGAGCATGCGGGTTCGTGTTCCCAAAGTTGCTCTTTTCCCTGGCACTGGGACTGCAGGACCTCGCAGGGTTGTTCCCCTCGGCCGAGACCTGGCTCTGTGCCAGGTGTGGGCCGAGATTCCCCAGCGCTCCCACCGCGTCCCTTTCCCGGAGGTTGTCCTGGGGGAAGGGGTGGCGTGTTCTCTTCCTGCCTGCCCCATGGATGGAGGAATCACAGACCAAGGGGCCCCTTGAGGAGCCTCAGTGAGCACAAAGGAATCTGGGACTGTCAGTTCGCTGTGGCAGAGGGAGGGTTAGTAGCAGCCCTGGCGGAGTGGTTCGCAGCTGCGCTCGGCTGGGTTACTTGGCCCTACCAGGGCACGCTCGGCCTCAGCGCCCCCCCTGCACACGCAGTAGACGGGCCTTTTTCCCTGGTAATCGGACCAAGAAGGCGACTTGCCCCAAGCCACTTAATGAGTCAGCGCTGAGCCAGGAATAGGACCCAGGAGTCCTGACTCCCTGCTGAGCCCACGGACCTGCAGCGTCCCTGTTGGGGCCAAGAAGGCAGAAGCTTGGGCAGGATCTCTCTCCTCCTCCCTCCCCCGGGAGCCTCTGGCTAGAGCACGTGCGTCCCTGCTCCTGGGCCTGTCGTCTCCGGCGCGCCTAATGAGCTCCTGCTCCTTGGAGCAGGCCTTGTCCTGGGAATGGCAAGGGGCTGCATGGCCGCCCCCGGCCGGCCCGTTCAGGCAGCCGGTGTCTTTCCGGGTCCTCTCTCCCGCCACGCTGAGCGGCTGTAGCTGCGCAGGGTTTCAAGTTACTCAGCAGCGTTTCTAATTTTGCTCTTATCGGCGGGGATCTGTGGAATAGCCGAGATCGTTCTAGAGCCCCGGGGGGAGGGGGCACGGAACAGCTGACACTGGGGCAGAGGCCATCGCTTTTCTGAATGAAACTAGAACCAGACCGGAGGGGGGAGGGGGCAGAGTCCCAGAGCCCAGGATCAGCCTGAACAGGAACATCAAGGCTGCTGATTTTTGTGCTGCGTCCCCCAGGAGATGTCCCTCCAGAGGGCTGGTCCGGCGCAAGGGATGCTGCTCTTACTCTGAGTCAGCCAGTAACTGTGGGGGGAATCCTTAGGATTTCCTGCTCCCGAGTCGAGGCTGGGTAGAGACTCTCTCCCCCTCCAGTACTGGATTGAAAACCGTGTAATAAATAAAGCCAGCTCCCCTGTGGGCACCCTGGCAGGAAGGGGCAGTAGGTGGAAGAGGAGGGGGAAATGCCAGGGAGCCCAGTGAGACGGGAAAGATCCCCTGGAATCCCCTACACAGCTCCAGAAAAGTAGCTTTATGGTTAGAGCCCTAACTAGACACCTTCCCCCTACCCCCGGGTCTCTGTGCCAGGCATTGGCATTCCCGTGGCAAACTTGGCCCTCTTGCGCCACGGGGCTTGCAACCATTTGCAGCCTCTGGCAGGGTCGCCCGCCACGCCCCAGGTGACACATTCTAGCTCTGACTAGCTACCTCCCCGGATCGTGCTTTGTCTGAATTGATGGGGTCAAGTATTGCCCTAGCCGCGGACTTTGACGCTAGCATCTTAAGCTGAAAAAGGGAAGGATTGTGCAAAGCACGATGCCTTCCCACCTGCCTACTTTACAGTCAGGCCCGCTTTCCGTCTGTGTCCTGCCGTTGGAAATGAAATGGGGCTTTTCTCAGGGGTTCAGCCTCGTCCGGGCAGCAACTTTAGGTCAGCGGTGGGTTTTGAGGGGGCAGGAGGGTTGGGTTTGCTGTTAAGCGCTGCAATGCTGTTAGAAGCCCCCAGCCCCCTGGCTGTGTCTACACTGGCGCGATCGTGCACCAAAGCAGCCGCTCTTGCGCAAAAACTTGCTGCCTGTCTACACTGGCCATGCGTTCGTGCACAAGTAAACTGATGTTCTAATATATGTATTCCTGAAAGGGCTCAGGAATAAGCCCTTTTTGCTGACCACAGGGGGGCAGTGACTGTGAGCGCGAGAGCTACAGGAACTATGGGCCTGATCCTGCAAGCAGCACTGCAGAACTGTAGTGATTTAAAGTGAGGCTTAGCGTGGGCATGGGGGGGGGGTCCTTCTCCTAAGGGGCTTGTTGCAGGGTCAGAGCCTGGCTTACTAACTCGGGTTTGCACGTGGTACCTAGCAATGGGTTTCTAATTACCTGTAGTAGCTGCCAGGTTCTGTTTAGTTCCCCTTAAATGCTAATCCACACGGTAGGCCCCTTCCCTTCCTGGTGGCCACGGTGGCTGACAGTCGCCCTCCCCGGCAGGAGGTGAGGTCGCAAAGACGACTGGCAGAGCAGCACCAGACTCTTCCCAAGGGCTGTGTCTACACTGGCACCCTTTTCCGGAAAAGGGATGCTAATGCGACACTTTGGAATTGCAAATCCGTTGGGGATTTAAATATCCCCCGCGGCATTTGCATGAACATGGCTGCCACTTTTTTCCGACTCGGGGTTTTGCCGGAGAAAAGCGCCAGTCTAGACGGGATCTTTCGGAAAATAAACCCTTTTCCGGAAGATCCCTTATTCCTGATTTTAAGAGGAATAAGGGATCTTCCGGAAAAGGCTTTATTTTCCAAAAGAGCCTAGGAATAAGGGATCTTCCGGAAAAGGGCTTATTTCCGCAAGATCCCGTCTAGACTGGTGCTTTTCTCCGGCAAAGCCCCAAGTCGGAAAAAAGCAGCAGCCATGTTCATGCAAATGCCACGGGGGATATTTAAATCCCCCACAGATTTGCAATTCCGAAGTGTCTCATTAGCATCCCTTTTCCAGAGAAGGGTGCCAGTGTAGACACAGCCAAGCTGTTTTCTCCTTGCCCATTCACTAGGCTTGCTAGCAATTGGCCAACATTGTGACGTTTCAATGCGAGACATGGGTGTGGATGCCCCCACTAGCTTTCATGACTGTAGCACAGAGCTCCCCTCCAGGGGATGTCGTCACACCCCATTTCAACGGGCGGGGCCTGTGCAACATGACCTGATGGGGCTCCGATGTCTTCCCACTCAAGCGTTAAAGCCGCCATTGTTGCTTGTCAGCAGTCCTGTGAGTCTGACCTGCTACACACAGGTGCTGGTCGGGTGCGCTCTCTCTCACACACCCCCACCCCCCACAGTAGAGAAAAGTTACTCAGCTGTTCAGGCTTGTCCATGAAATTTAAAGGACCCCCCCTAACATGTACCTGCCAGAGCTGTTTGGCAGCTCACCAGCATGGCTCCTCTTGTAGCGATAGGTCTCTGACTATACGCACGCCTCCATATGCAGTAAAATGGGACTGTATTTTTGTACACCTCTTGGACTACACTGGCACCAGATGCTGGCTGTGTGCATCCCCAGGACTGGCAGGTAGCTCTGTGTTAGACAGCAGGGCCTAGATGATCTAGCAGCGGTACAAGGGCCAGGAACATTGACGGTCTGGTCACTTACCCTGGGTGTCAGTACAGGAGGAGGCTGGGAATGCTTGCAGAAGGCAGCAGCATGAAGTGGAGCCGTGTGTCATGCTGAGGCAAGCGTTAGAAGACAGACGCATAAACGTGAGGGATCAAGGAATCATTGTACTGGGACTGTCAACAGCCCCCCCAAATCCACAGCCGTGCCCATGTATTAGCACTGCCTTTTAGCTGCCAGGGTCAAGGGAAAGGGAGGGAGTTGGGGGGACTCTAGTTAATCTTAGTTGAGGACTGTGTGTGTGTGTTCTCGTACTTCCGGGTACTCAGTAATGGGGCATCACCTGATCCACTGGTCAAGTTGGAGTGTGGTGCCCCCTAGTGGATTTGTGTGTAGCAGCATCAGCATCTTGGGGGCCGAGGGGGGAGAGACGCTCTAGGAGTAGGAAAACGTGCAAGGAGAGCTCCCCTCGCTGTACTTCACTTTGTGGCCTAGACCCTTGACTCCACAGAGGCTCCCGGGCATGCTTTGGTTTGACTGCTCTCTACCCGGCCTGTCCAGCCATGTTAAAATGGCAAGGCAGTGCCAGAAAGGCACCGGGTTAGGATTCGCGCAGAGAAGAGCTCGTGATCCCAGCTACATGTTCTGTACAGCTGTAACTAGAAAAACAAACCACCCCGAAGAGCTGCAGCGCCTTAGTGCCTAACTCAGCTCCCTCTGAGATCCCAGGCACCCAGCATGCAGGGAGGGTGCTTGTGGGGCCCACTCAGTAAAGCTGGTCCTGGTTCGAATAGCAAAAGGCAGGGCATGGAAAGCATACGCCTGAGGAACAAGGCAGCTGCTGGCTGCCTCTGTCTTTTCCTCCTCAGACCGTGGATTGTAATTACCAGCTTTGCAAATGGATACAGACCCTGGGCCTACACATTCAGCTGTGCCTGTGCTTTCCTCTGCATCAGCAGTCAGACTATTTACTAGCTCCTCCAGCAGCAGGTTAGCGAGGATTCTGCCTTCGCGTGGGGGGTGTAAGCTGCAGAGAGAGAGTCATCAGCCTCACCCTACACTCCTGCTTGGATTAATGACCGATAGGAGTGGGATACTTTCCTTGCCCTAGGACTGGGGGGTAAACTGAGGTAGCTAAAGGGAGGAATGACACCGGGGTTGGGAGGTTCAGTGTAGCTCTCCCGCGGGCTGTGTCAGATTAGGAAAGGGGTCGGTGTGAGTTTCTAAATACAGTGGTGTTTTCCCAAATCCGCGGCATCCGTGCCAAAGTAGAGAAGGTGAATCCTGCTGGAGCTCACCAAACACCACTGCTAATCCCAGCTGTGTATTGTGGATGTAAGGCAAGACACTTGTGGGTCCCTGCAGGGAACAATGGAGATGGCTGAGTGGACAGCTGTTGATTGAAGAACCCCCTTTGGCCCTGCTGCTGGGTGGATGTC